ATCGCATAGCAGTGGGATGTCCTTCTCACCGCGCGCGCTTTACTCGCGCGGATTCGCCGATTTTTTTTCGTTAATTACTCAGTACTTATTATGAAAATTAAAAAATGGTAAAGGACTTTTCTACTCGATTTGACCTCCTCTACCTGTATATGACCGGTGGGGCGATTATTGCCAGACACCCTGTATAAGATAGTTAAATTTCGGCTAGTTTAATTTCTACCCAGGTACGATTTTCTACTGTGTGCGTATGAGCCCGGTCTGCCGCCTGACAGCTCCGCTAACGCGAAAACAAGTGAGTTTTGGATATAAATGGAGCTTTCGAGTATGTGATTTTTAATCCAGGAATAAATAGCTTTCAAGTTATGTGATTGGGTTTGTTATAATCGTATAACGTATAACGATTTTAGAAATAAGAATACCATCTGGAGGATAAAATATACTGCGAACAAACCTATTTATTAATGATGCAAGTGAACATTTCTAGCTGAAGAGAGCATTCTATGCTTAAATAAAGACAAATAACGTTCAATGAATAAAAGTATACGTCAAATATATGAGTCAAGAATTTAATTTCTTTGTACATTAGAGATTCTATTACATTAATGTATTATACACAATTTTCTAAATTTAATAAATTTTTTATCTTTAGGGGTTTTTTTTCACAAAAACTTTTTCTTATCTTAAAAATTACACAGTTCAACAAAAAACAGCTTTTTTGGACTTAAAAATGTGAGATATCTCCTTTTATAGTTTTTTGATGCCGAATACAATACCAGTTTCAAAAATGCTCTATCACATCACAATTTCGAGAATTTTAAAGTTGTAAAAAAAAGCTATTTTGACCATGTTATAACTATGGTATGCGACGTCTTAAAAAAGTTTTTTTTGTTTTTAATAAAGTATATTACTAGAATTTTTAACTCTTAAATGGGACTTTTTATGTTCATCACGATTAACAAGATTTTGGTGATTAAATATTGTGTTTGTCACCGCAAGCAGATTATAAATGCAACTAAGAACTGCGAATAATTCACTGAATATTTTCAATTCATGTGCAACACATAATGATTTTCAAAATTGCTGGCTACAAATGTGATGTTAAAATTGACAAATTTAAATTGGCGGATTTTAACATAGTGGATATCAAAATAATAATAACAACAATAATAATAATAACAATAATAATAATAATAATAATTTGTCAAATTTGATATCAGATTCGTATTCAGCAACCTCGACAATTCTTAAACACGAATTTTCATAAAAATTGCAACCGTTTATTATTCTATCTTTCAGTGGTTTTATTTTGAAAATTATGAGCAACAGATTAAAGAATTCATATATAACACCTTTCGGTAGGTCTGTAAAATTTTATATATGTAGTACTACATATATGAGGGTGCCTCATTTTAAATGCTCTAGACAAATATCTCGGAAATTAAAAAAGATATGAAAACGTGTTTCAAATAAAAGTTGTGGGATTTCGAGAGGGAAAAAACATGGCAATATTTATTTTATCTTGAAATAATTTTAAAAGGCCGCATCAAGATCTGTTAAAAACTAGCACCCCTCATCAGTAAAAATTAAAATAAAACTTATACTAAAATTTAGTGCTATTTAGGTGCTAATTTGGTGCTTTATTTTTAATTTTAGTGTTCGAACCGTTTAACAGGAATTTATTACAACAATACCTTTTATTATAACAATAAAGAAAAAGATTACATAAAGAAGAGAATAAATAAATTTTTAAGTTTACTGAATAAAGAAATTTTAAAAGAGATTATAAGGTTTAATATATAACTTTCTTACAGGGCATCTCATGTAAAGTTGCTGAAACAACTGTCATTTTTAAATGCACATAAGGAGCAAAAAAATATCTTTCAATAGAAGACATTTTGCAGTTTTATTTACATATAAACTAAAAACAATCAGAAACAACAAACACAATCATAAAACATCTTATCATTTTATCATTAAACATCTATAAAAAATGTCTAATTTTGCTAATTTAAGTTAAAATATATTTAAATACTATGGCCATTATGTGAAAAACATAATAAAAATTTTTATAATTCCCTCATGATCCATGGCTACACTGCTGTACATAATAATTTTTTATATAACATTTTGTCCGTGTATAAAAAATAGTTTTGTATATTTTTGTTGACTTATATCTTTAATTATAAAAAATAGATTAATTTTGTTTATAGCTTCTAAAAGCATTTAAAAGGCACTAAATTGCGATGTATTTATTTTTTAATTGTTTATATTAATGGTGGAAATGCTAGCTTAATGTTAAACAAGCTTAATGTTAAACTAGCATTCCTACTTTTAATTGTAAATTCCTGCTAAACGACTCTAGCATTAAAATTAAAAGTAAAGCATCAAATTAGCACTTAATAGTATTAAATTTTAATACAAGTTTTACTTCAATTTTTTGTGATGGTGGTGCTAGTTTTTAAGACATGTCAAGATTAACATAGAAATATTAAATGGGAACTTTTATTTTTTACTGCATATTCTTGTAGCTAATGTCGAGACATTTTTTCAAAACACTTGTTGCAAATTTTTTTGCAATGAGAACTTTCTGAGATATTTATTATTACTCCACCAAAAATAGGAAATACTTTTTAGATGCTCAAAATTTAGCAATTTTTAAACTGTTGCAACTTGATGAAGAATTATCAACCAAAGATCCGAAAAGCTTTTTAAAACTTGAAGTTTGTACTTTTATATGGTTTGGGCAATTTAAAAAATTTTTTTATTTTTATGCTTTTAAACCCAAAAAAGAACACATTGTTTTGTTTCTTAAAATTACGTATTTTCAACACTCTGTAGCTTGATAATAAAATTTTTTTCGAAAAATTTATGATAAGTAGCAAAAATTACGACTCTATTATGTGCAAAACGCGTGTTTAAAAATGTTCCTACGGTTTTCTTTTTTGGTTATGCAATTTCAAGTTATGCAATTTTGAAAGTAAATTTGTATTTTTACGCTAATGCTACTGTTGATGGTGAATGTTATTTTTCACAAAATATAGGGTTAGTTCCAAAGTCGTGTAGCTCAGCTAAAAAAACCGTAGAAACATTTCTAAATATGCGTTCTGCAAATAAAATTTTATTTCCTCATGTAATTTTTAATGATTGAACAACTACCGAAGATTACTACTTTGTACTGAAGATGGTCAAAAAATTGACTAAAACGTATATGTATATGTAACAATAAAGAAAATTAACAAGCAACTAATACCCGGCTTTGACTCTCGATTCTCAATATAGTTTAAAATTTTGTACTTTTTGAAAGTTATCATAAACTACAAGAAAAAATTTTTTAATAAACTACAAACTTAAAAATATGTTAAGACAAAAACAATATTTTTTTCTTTTGGACTCAAAACTGTGAAGATAAAAAATTAAAAAAAAATGGTTACAAATACGTGAAAGAGCAAACTTTAAGCTTTAAGCAACTGTTTTGTTTTTTATCTGCGATAATTTTTCACCGAGTTTCAACGTTATTTGTAAAAAATGTAGGTTTATTTTCAAAGTCATAACTCGGCCAAAGAATCGTAGGAACATTTATAAACACGCGGTTTGTAGATAAAATAAAGAATTGTAGTTTTTGCAGCTTGTCTTAAAATTTTCGTAAAAACTTTATTATCAAGCTGCAAAGTGTTGAAGATGCGTAGTTTTAAAGAACAAAACAATGTGTTTCTTTTTCTGCTTTAAAAGTATAAAGATAAAAAATTTTCAAAAAATTATCTCAAGTATGTAAAGGTATGAACTTCAAGCTTTGGAACGTTTTTTTGGTTTTTGTTATATAATGATTTTTCAAAGTTACAACAGTTTGAAAATTGTTAAATTTTAAGCGTCTGAAAAGTATTCCCTATTTTTTGTGAAACAGTGTAAAATATAGAGTATATCTTGAAAAATATCTATTTTTTCAAACTTTGCTATTTTTATACACAGAATAGTGAGGAAAACTAATTAATATTAAAAGAAATACAAACAATTAAAAAATTTTATAATATTTTGTAGATCTTACTGCATTTTGTAAAATTGCAAATGTAAAAATTAGTATTATTAATCGATTCTTTTCATCTTAAATGGAAACTCCTATTTTCATCATTCTATATAACAAAAATATTTAGGTAAGATCAAGGAAAAATGAATACTTTATGAGATGTTTCATATTTTACACAAACAATTGTCATAATAAAATCGGAAATATCTCAGGAAGTTCTTATCGCGAAAAGATTTGCAATGAATGTTTTGAAAACATCTCAACATTAGCTACAAGAATATGTAATAAGAAAGAGGAATACCCATTTAATACTTTTGAGTTGATCTTAACAGGGCTTTTCAAGGTCATTCTAAGATCAAATAAATATTGCTATCTTTTTTCCTCTCGAAATCCTACAACTTTTATTTAAAATACTTTTTATATCTTCCTTAATTTTCAAGATATTTGTCTGGAGCATTTAAAACGGGACATTCTGTATGTCAGTATCTATCTATCTATATATATATATATACACACGCGCCACTTAAAACCCAACAATTCATGGAATTTCATGGAACATTTTTCTCGCATATTTTTTTCCAAGGAATCCGAATCTGCAATAAAAAATGAGGGTTCCCATTTGAAATTTCAAAGTTGCCACCCGCCCCACCCCCAAGGGGCGGTATTGTGTACATGTATATGTTAATTTTTACACAGGCAGACGTCCCCCTTGATAATATTAAAAATTTATTTGGGACATTTTTTCGTACTGTATACACAGGGTGTCCAAAAAGTCCCAATGTTTTGAAATTAAAACATTTTCGAGAAAAATGTTCCATGAAAGTTGTTGGGTTTTAAGTGGCCCATTAGATAGCAATGTTAGTGTGACCTTGGATAGCGTTGTTAAGGTCACAAAAATCACAAAAACTTTTTTTAATGGAAATCCCTATTTTTGATTGCGTATTCTTGTAGTTGACCTCGAGAGCTTTTCAAAACTATTTAAAGTTCCTTTCCATTAAGTATTTTCCTAGTTATGAGACTTGAGAGATATAGTACCGCCAGTATTAGTATTATCCGATGTGCACCACGGTGAGGTTGCTTGATCGGATTTTGCGCATCGCGCGCGCGCATACCTCTACGTACCTTCTCCCTGTGTGTGCATCTCTTCCATTCGACTTCCGTCTGATCCGCGTCCTCATTCCGGCATCACTGGACAGCCTTATTCCTACCTTTGCGGCTGCGAGTAGCTAATAAAGCTAAGAGAAGCGAGTACAAGCCAACAGTGCGAATGC